TGACGGCGGTCTGTAATTAGTCAAGTCTGGAACAGACAATCCAATGATTAATATTATGAGCATCGATCCACGCAATGAGTGAATTTATGCTTTACGTCACATCGGCAATATTTCAGCCATATCGTGACGAGAAGTTATACAGTATTTATCCATATATTTAATCCAAATAAGAACATGTCAGCGATGGACAGTAAAATTACTAGAATATCACAGATTTAATGTTTCAAACTAGCATACAACAATAAAAAGACATCACAAAATAGTCATGAAACATTACAATATAGAAAAAGGGCTATAGATCGCCAGCATCTGAAGGTAGATCACCATGCTAGGGTCCAGGGGGACTTACAGTACTTTTGCTACCTGTTGGACCCCAGCCGGATTTACATCATCCCCTCAGCTGTTGGCGATAATTGACAAATTTAGCCACAATTTAAAGGAATATATATACTGCGATAAAAAACGTGGCTTAAATAAATATACTTTGAAAGACGTGGACTTACATATCCTCTCAGGGGGACAATAATTTTACACTACTTTACCCCCTAATATAGCCACTAACAATCTCAGTTATTGATTTATACAACCAAATATAAAATGAATTTATTTCGCAATTAGGATCAATGACATGCATCTACCAAGTCAGCGACCCTAACCACCCGATCCATGGGTTGCTGAAGACCTTGTCTATCCCGGGTCTTCAGACATAGTACTTTCACTGTCTCATGACAGCTCTTCAGTGTAACTGGCAATGACATATGAATGACGTCATACTTATGATGTCATAATGTCACACCCCATCCACGACACCATGTAATTTAACAATTGTAGGGAGACATTTAAGAATTGAAGTGTGTCCCGTGAAGATCCGGGGAAGAATAGGTCTTCAGCAACCCATGCTTGCGACTATGCTTATCGTAAAAGACGACTAACGGTATCGGGTGGTCAGGCTCGCTGACTTGGTTGATGCATGTCATCGATCCCAATTTAGTGGATCGAGGCTCATGATTTCAATCACTGCATGAGTGTCTGGTCCAGACTCGATTATTTACAGGTCGCCGTCATATAGCTGGAATATTGCTGAGAGCGGCGTTAAACAACAAACCAACCAACCAAGTAGGTGACATCCGGCTGGCACGATGTGTCGTTCAAATAAAATATGAAGTCCGCTTTCGGTGAGTATTCTCGAGTCGTGTGTGGAGCCTGGACACTTCGCAACAAGGTCAATTATCATGTTGTTTGGATCAAATACAAGCTGTGTGTTAATACTGTGGTACTGTTTACGATTTACATACGAGGGTTCGACGACGGATGGTGCAATAATCTGCATATGGGATCCATCAATCACTCCAACAACGCCAGGGAAGTGAGCGATGTTGTAAAACGCCGCTTGATTCCGACGAATGCAACCCTGCGTTGTCGGAAAGTGAATAAACTGGGATGCTATATCGGCGTCGGACAAAGCTGACACTGTCTGCTCTATCGCTCGACTGACCGACAATTGGGAAAGACCCAAGTCATCCCCGTTGGATAATTGCATTTTGCCTGTAGCAAAATAACGTAGCGTTGCTACAACCTTTTCATTTCAGTTCCTGTCATGGGATGAGAACGAGAGGTGCTAGGACATATTTTATCAGCAATTAACGCAGTCACATATTCAATACCACTTTTGTTTAACCTGTATCCTCTGATTAGTTCTTTGTCAGGATATATTTGCAGTACATCTCGTCTAGCGGTGGTTTGTACAATACCTATGGCAGCCATATTGGATGTCTTAAGACAATCCTTAAGGACTTAAGATGGTTGGTTGGTTGGTTTGTTGTTAACGCCGCACTCAGCAATATTCGAGCTATATGACGGCGGTCTGTAAATAATCGAGTCTGGACCAGACAATCCAGTGATTCATATCATGAGCATCGATCCGCGCAATTGGGATCAATAACATGCAACAACCAAGTCAGCGAGCCTGACCACCCGATCCCGTTAGTCGCCTTTTACGACAAGCATGGGTTGCTGAAGACCTATTCTACCCCGGAATCTTCACGGGTAAGTCCATGAGGTATCTTAAACTTAAGCAAAGAACTAAGCACTGAGAAGCTATATGAATATAACTTAAGAAATTACTTAAAATTTAAGTTGGTTGTTATGGAAACTAAGATTTCTTTGTGGATTTAAGATTTCTTAAGGCTAAATAAAATTTCTAAGAAGCTTTGGGAATACCGCCCCTGGTCTCGCCGAATAATATCGTAACAATGTTTGCTTAAATTTGAAGTCCTCTGGTTTCGCCGAAGAACATTGCAACAATGTTATTTTGTCGGTAATTGCCGCCTCTCGGTCACATACGTTTCCCCACTCATACTCAGTAACACTAAGAAAATAGTTCTTTGAATATATACACTATAATCTAGAAATATGTCAACATAATTTCATTCTCTGAACAAATTTACAACCAATATTTGGGATAAATCAAATCTTAAAAATAGGTTACAGGAAGTTGAACAAAAATATAAACATGACCTCGATGCACCGAGGCGAGGTCAACCTTCAAGCGCGGATTTATATATGATGTCACATAAGTTTGCAAAGAGGTGCATTTCAAATCGAACGGGAGCTTGAGGTTGGTTTGGTTTGGTATAACGCCCTACTCAGCAATATTCCAGCTATATGACGGCGGTCTGTAAATAATCGAGTCTGGACCAGACAATCAATTGATTAATATCATGAGCATCGATCGAGGCAACCAAGTCAGTGAGCCTGACCACCCGATCCCGTAAGTCGCCTTTTACGACAAGCATAGTCACCTATTACGGCAAGCATGGGTTGCTGAAGACCTATTCTACCCCGGAATCTTCACGGGTCCGATGAAATTTATACTTAGTGCTGTTGAAAATGACGTTTATGGAAAACACCCCGACGCGTGAAACCTCTCATGGCACTAGCAATTTGGGAATATCACCGATTTGTGAATGTGTTGCTTGTGTTTGGACAATCGCAAACTAGGTCGGACGGTGCGGAATGGACTGGTGGAAACTTGTGTGTTTTGTGTTAATTTTCAACGTCAGGATGTGTTATATTTGGAGTTTGGGATTTGTCGCGTGTGCTGTAATACTCTGCTTAGCTGGTGTTTCTTGTCACCTGAGGGGGCACGGGTGGCCCAGTCGTCTAAGGCGCCGCGATTCGCTGTGCAGAGTTGCGTCCCTTGGGCACGCCAGAAACCTATGATTGTGGGTTCGAATCCCGGTTCGGCCCGATTATGTTTCTAGGTATGTCAGCACCATACCCGTGCTCGTGGGTTTCACCGAAGTGGTAAACGTCTGAGACCTGCATCAGTTCGGGCTCTCCTCCCACATTAACCTGACACGCCGCGATATAACTGGAATACTGTTAAAAGCGGCGTTAAACCGAACTCACTCACTCACTCACTCTTGTCACCTGAGATGGACCTACTGTATGACCTGATGCCAGCTTTATTACTGTGCCCCTAGAATGCACGGAGAAGGTCGGCCAACTCAGAAACCGGAATAGTAGATTTCTAATTCCGTCTACGGATATTTTCTCGTCTCCGATGACCAATCGATAAAACAGGTAGGCAATTTTTTTAATTTTTTTAAATTTAAGTTTCTCTCCTTACCTTTTTATGTTTTATGGTTTCTCTGATTCTTAGATTTTTTTCCCGATACGATAGTAAATCGGGTTTTAGTTTGGGATTGATCACGAGCAGTCGCGTTTGCTCTGTGTCAGCGGCCACATCTGAGCAGGGTACGACATTATTTTCATTGGTGCTAGATTTCTCTCATTTCCGAAAACAAGGCGTCAAAGTCAATATCGCTCAATAAATCGATTTCGTTCACCTCAGTAATTTCAGAGAATTAAATTTCTTCACTTGCGTTATTAGTATTGAAAGATAGCCATTCCATATCCGAATCACCGCAAGGACAATCCATTTTGTTTCATGTAGCAGCTAAACGACATCAATCACCAGAGCCAAAGCATTTATTTATAAATAAGTCAGATGAAAATGTTACAAGACCAGGCAAAAATACCAAATTTATTATATTGCTGATAAATGCAGGGATTAAAAAGAAAATAGTAAAACGAGTTGATCGTAAACACCGATCGAGAGTTCGGGGAAACCCCGGAAAGAAGTTCCGGCAAAAGTTCACACGATTAATTGCACACAAAAAATGTTCACATCGTGTGAAATTTTATAGTCCGTTCACAGGTGTGTGAACGCCAAATATCCGATCATGTGACTATACCCCTTCAGCCAATCAGCATGAAAGAAACAGTGTAAACTTCAAAGTATGAACTTATTTGATGTTGGTTGGTAGGTTGGTTGGTTTGTTGTTTAACGCCGCTCTCAGGAATATTGCAGCTATATGACGGCGGTCTGTAACTAATCGAGTCTGGACCAGACAGTCCAGTGATTAATATTATGAGCATCGATCAACTCAATTGGGATCGATGACTTGCATCAACAAAGTCAGCGAGCCTGACCACCCAATCCCGTTAGCCGCCTTTTACGACAAGCATGGTCACCTTTTACGGCAAGCATGGGTTTTTGGCGTGCGTGTTATTGGTTGATACATATCATCGATCTCAGTTGCGTGGATCGATGCTCATGATGTCAATCACTGGATTGTCTGGTCCAGACTCGATTATTTTACAGACCGCCGTCATATAGCTGGAATATTGCTGAGTGCGGCGTTAAACAACAAACAAACATAAAGAGAACGGATTCGTCTTCCCGTAGGAATTCTGTGTCCCCAACAGAGGCGACTACATGGCCCTTGAATCCACAATGGAATGTGTACAATGTGATCTTGTACGATATGATATAAACACTATCAACATAAACTATATAACGGCAACAGTTTATCTCGCTTTTATCAACTGCGACGCAGGACAATGTCTGCGTGGTGATATTAAAGCTCATCACACAGTAATTGCTTCCTCTTTTGCCGCGATAACGTGTCACCTCAGCACTGTAGAGGAGTTTGCGATAACGTCCCTGATCCCAGTCGCATGACGTCACGTCACGTGAAGATGATGACCTCTTGTCTATATAGGGCTGTGTTGATTTGACACAACTCATTCCGCATCAGTTGATCAATTGAAGGAGGAGCGATCCAGCAGTAATTATGAGCTATCCAGGTAAGTTTTGTTTGTTGGTTGGTTGTTTAACTCCGAACTCCGAACGTATGGTCGACAATATTCTAGACTGTCCGCCCACACAATCCAGTGATTTACGTCAAGAGCATAGATCTAGACAATTGGGATACGATGAAATACATCAACCAAGTCAGCGAATCTGGTCACCCGATCCGGTTAATCGCCGCTTACTACGGCTTGATGCGGACCAATTCTAACCCGTTTCACGGATCAATCCTGGGATGCTTGTCGTAAGAGGTGACTAACGGGATCGGGTGGTCATGCTCGCTGACTTGGTTGATGCAGGTAACCGATCCCAATTCCGTGGATCGATGCTCATGTTGTCAATCACTGGATTGTCTGGTTCAGACTCGATTATTTAAAGACCGCCGTCATATAGCTGGAATATTGCTGAGTGCGGCGTAAAACATACAAATAAACAAAGGGACATAGGTACACATAAGGACAAACATGTCTTTGTTTGGATTATTATATCTCACTGATATAAACTGACACACTCTGACAAATGAAGGAGGTGAATATCGCTTTACATAACAGAAATTCGTCTTCCCGTGGAAATTCTGGGTCCCCAGCAAACTGTGTCAGAGGCAACTAAATGGCCCTTGAATCCACAATGGAATGTGTACAACATGATCTAATACGATTACAATATTTTCAGGCTACCCAGGCAATCCCTACTACCCCCAGGGTAACGTTCCCCCACCCCAACCCGGAGCATACCCTCCACAGTATCCAGCAGGTGCCTACCCTCCACAATATCCTGCGGGGGCGTACGCCCCACCCCCAGCGGGCTACCCCTACGCCCAGCCCGCACCACCCGTGGTTACCACAACGACGTACACGCAGGGGTTCGGACCACATGGTCAGTCAAGGACGGTGTTCAGAGACCAGTGTGGTGACAAGGTCGTGGTCAAGAGGGATGGATTTGGCCACGAGAAGGTCATCGTGAAAGAGGTCAGTTTATGATGGTTTTAGGTCACTCTTCATGACACATTTTGTTGTAAAGGTTATGGTAGGGGATTGGAGTAAGTCGCAGTTATCACTGATACATAAACATGTCAGACACATGTAGACACTGCTGCCCACACTGCTGTAGATCTATGTCAGTACTGCTGCATACACATGACGACACTGCTGCAGACACATGTTGACACTGCTGCAGACACATGTCGACACTGCTGCAGACACATGTAGACACTCCTGCAGACACATGTCGATACTGCTGCAGACACATGTCGACACTGCTGCAGACACATGTCGACACTGCTACAGACACATCTCGACACTGCTGCAGACACATCTCGACACTGCTGCAGACACATGCTGACACTGTTGCAGACACATGTAGACACTGCTGCAGACACATGCCGACAATGCTGCAGACACATCTCGACACTGCTGCAGACACATGCAGACACATATAGACACTGCTGCAGACACATGCCGACACTGCTGCAGACACATCTGGACACTGCTGCAGACACATGTCGATACTGCTGCAGACACATGTCGACACTGCTGCAGACACATGCCGACACTGCTTCAGACACATGTCGACACTGCTGCAGACACATGCCGACACTGCTGCAGACACATGTAGACACTGCTGCAGACACATGTAGACACTGCTGCAGACACATCCCGACACTGCTGCAGACACATCTCGACACTGCTTCAGACACATGTAGACACTGCTGCAGACACATGCCGACACTGCTGCAGACACATCCCGACATTGCTGCAGACACATCTCGACACTGCTGCAGACACATGCCGACACTGCTTCAGACACATCTCGACACTGCTACAGACACATCTCGACACTGCTGCAGACATATGCCGACACTGCTGCAGACACATCTCGACACTGCTGCAGACACATGCTGACACTGCTGCAGACACATGTAGACACTGCTACAGACACATCTCGACACTGCTGCAGACACATGCAGACACATGCCGACACTGCTGCAGACACATCTCGACACTGCTGCAGACACATGCTGACACTGCTGCAGACACATGTAGACACTGCTGCAGACACATGCCGACAACGCTGCAGACACATCTCGACACTGCTGCAGACACATCTCGACACTGCTGCAGACACATGTAGACACTGCTGCAGACACATGTCGACACTGCTGCAGACACATGCCGACACTGCTGCAGACACATCTCGACACTGCTGCAGACACATCTCGACACTGCTACAGACACATCTCGACATTGCTGCAGACACATGTCGATACTGCTGCAGACACATGTAGACATTGCTGCAGACACATCTCGACACTGATGCAGACACATGCCGACACTGCTTCAGACACATCTCGACACTGCTACAGACACATCTCGACACTGCTGCAGACACATGCCTAACTGCTGCAGACACATGCCGACACTGCTGCAGACACATACCGAGACTGCTACAGACACATCTCGACACTGCTGCAGACACATGCCGAGACTGATGCAGACACATCTTGACACTGATGCAGACACATGCCGAGACTGATGCAGACACATGTCGACACTGCTGCAGACACATGTCGACACTGATGCAGACACATCTCGACACTGATGCAGACACATGCCGAGACTGATGCAGACACATATGGACACTGCTGCAGACACATGTCGACACTGATACAGACACGTGTCGATACTGCTTCAGACACTTGACAACACTGCAACAGACACATCTCGACACTGCTGAAGACACATGTAGACACTGCTGCAGACACATGTCGACACTGACACACACGTGCCGACACTGACACAGACACATGTCGAAACTGCTGCAGACACTGAAATATATGTACAACGTAATTGTTTCAGGTCACGTAACCCTTGTTCAAACCCAATTGATAACGTACCAAAAGGAATGTCAAGCTGAAATTTTATCAAAGCCATGAGGTGATGGGAATTTAAAGGGCCCCATATCAAGAGGGCAAAATCCAAACACCCACCCAACCCCACCCCAGTTTCCGGATTAAGTGTTCCCAGAAAAACCCGTTCCCGGATTTATGGTTTCCGGATTGTGCCAGATTGTTGGTTCACAGATTAAGGGTTTGGGGATAAGTGTTCCCAGACTAACGGTTTCCGGATAAGTGTTCCTTGGCTAACGGTTTCCGGATTAACTGTTCCCAGACGAACGATTTCCGGATTAAATATTCCTTGACTAACGGTTTTGGATTAAGTGTTTTCCAGACTAATGGTTTTGGATTTCGTGTTCCTTGACTAACGGTTTTGGATTTCGTGTTCCTTGACTAACGGTTTTGGATTAAGTGTTCCTTGACTAACAGTTTCCGGATTAAGGTTTCCCAGACTAACGGTTTCTCGATTAAGTGTTCCCAAAACGAGATTCCAGATCAACAGGTCCCGGTCTAACGGGTTTTCATTGTAACTCCTACAGGATCACCACCACCACCATCACCCCCCTCAGAACAAGGCCGTGTTCAATGACGGGTTCGGGCACAAAGTGGTGGTCAAGGAGGACAGATTCGGCAATGAGAGGATCATCGTGAAAGAGGTAAGTTCTAGGAATGTTAAGCGCTTTGTGGGCAAGCCTCGGAGTTTTTTATCGATTCGTGTTGATATATTTGATATCAAAAGATAAGATTCTCTGTTTATTCTGCTGAAGCAAACTTCATGGTTTATGGGGGCACAGGTGGCCCAGTCGTCTAAGACGACGCGATTCGCTGTGCAGAGTTGCGTCCCTTGGGCACGCCAGAAACCTATGATTGTGGGTTCGAATCCCGGTTCGCCCCAATTATGTTTCTAGGTTTGTCAGCACCATACCCGTGCTCGTGGGTTTCACCGAAGTGGTAAACATCTGAGACCTGCATCACTTCGGGCTTTCCTCCCACATTAAACTGACACGCCGCGATATAACTGGAATAATGTAAAAAGCGGCATTAAACCAAACTCACTCACTCACTTCATGGTTTATCTTCGTACATAGGGAGTTACAGATCAATTTGTTCTTTTCTTAGATCACAGCGAACTCAGCAAATTTCAATCTATTAGACAACAACTTGTAAATAATCGATACTTGATAATGACGGATATTATGAGGCACGTTCCACGACGTTAGGGTACGAAGACAAGTACCAAGTAACCTTCCATTAGGTCGCCTCATACAAACAGAATACGTTGCTGGAGACGTTGTCTTATCTGACACACACACACACACACACACACACACACACACACACACACACACACACACACACACCATGTTGGTTCAGCAACTGTGGCGTACGCAGTTATTGCAGTGTAATTGCCCTGGACTACATTTGAGGACTCAACCTGGTTTGTTTGTTGTTTGTTGTTTAACGCCGCACTCAGCAATATTCAATCTACATGACGGCGTTCTGCAATAATCGAGACTGGACAAGACAATCCAGTGATTGACATCATGAGCATCGACCCACGCAATTGGGATACGATGACATGCATCAACCAAGTCAGCGAGCCTGACCACCCGATCCCGTTAGTCGCCTCCTATGACAAGCATAGCCGCCTTTTACGGCAAGCATGGGTTGCTGAAGACCTATTCTACCCCGGATCTTCACCTGTCCTGGGAGGAAGCAGTATTTCTACAAACGCCTAAATACTTTTGTCCACTCTCCCATTCACTCGTTATGCGTCGGATACAATGTTTATATCGTCTCACTCTCTAACCCATAAATTCAACGGAGGAGCTGAACTGGATTATCTCCCTTTCCACGTATAGGATCCTGGGTTGTTATATTTTATATCATTGTACAATATATACTAAGGATACGGTATAGGCGTCTGAATTGGGAACCAATGGGAAGTGCAGGTTAAAACCTATGCAGGTTAAAACCTATGGCGTGGATCGTTGCTCGTATTATCAATCACTGGATTGTCTGTCCAGACTCGATTACTTCCTAAAACAACACACACACACACTCTCTCTCTCCCTCTCTCTCTCTATCTCTCTCTCTCTCTCTCTCTCTCTCTCTCTCTCTCTCTCTCTCACACACATACACATACACACACATACCCTTCAGCCCACGGAATACATTTTGTTTAAGAAATTAAGATAACCTTTACTTGCCCATATTTATATACTCTCGCGATTTCAGCCATACTTATGTATTATATCATGCCAGATGTCCAAAACATGCAAGCTTAGGCAAAAGAAGTGATAGTTATTAACCATATGTACATATCTAATATTTTTACCAATATTTCAAAGCCGAAAATCGCCCTTATTCGACTTCATCAACATGCAAACAAACTTTATTGTCTCAGGCTGTAAGTATCTTACCTGTTAACATATATTTTCTAGTTGTCCTTTCTATTATTAATTGTGTACATGCAATCTTGTCTATGTTCCAGAAACATGGACATCACCATCACGATCATAACTTCTTCTAGACAACCCGGAAAAAAAACAAAATCTCCTTATATTGACAATTAAGTCTATGTGATTTTTAATCGTGCCACGGTCAAGATTTTTCTTTACTGTTTATCGCCCGCGTCTACTACAACTCATAACCGTTGTACGCATATCAGAAACCAGAAATGCGCACACTGACGCGTGTTGATGATCATGTGAATCAGTGATTTTGCGAGTTGGTTTCTTAAAACTTCTGTCCAGTGCCAGATTCGTTACAATGCCACATGTGTTGTTCCGAAAGCTCAAGACATGAAAAAGTGATCATGAAAAAATAAATTTTATAATGAGATATACCGACAATGAGATTATGAATTTAAACGGGACGTCAGACCCCACTTCACCTAACACCACGTTCCTTTATCTCCCGTGAATACACACGGCCGCTGTACAGGGTAACACAGACAAGGTGTAACACTGACCCGTCGTTATCTATGAATCCTGCGTGCATGAACTTTGTGCGAATGATACCACTGACTTGTACTGAAGCAATGTGTAGAAAGGATAGCCGCAAATTAGTCTGTCATACAGACCCTGAAACAAATAATCCAATACAGCCCATGCAAGTCTATAATGCTTGGCAAGTCTAGATCACTGCAGTATCAGGGTCTGTACAAATGTTCTGAATTCACAAGCGAGGACAGAGCTTGTAATTATCAGTCGATCTCTAGCTGTCATTAGTGTTTAGTATTAGCACATGTCCCCCTCCCCCAGACCCCGACTGAGCCAGGACCTGCTCCTGCTTCTCCCCCTGCCACTCTGGGCAGACAACATGTGATTACTTTGGAGACCTCCTCCACCACTCCCCAAGACCCACACTGAGCCAGGACCTGCTCCTGCTCTTCCCCCTGCCACTCTGGGCGGCAACATGTGATTACATTGGTGACCTCCTCCACCACTCCCCAAGACCCACACTGAGCCAGGACCTGCTCCTGCTCTTCCCCTGCCACTCTGGGCAGACAACATGTGATTACATTGGAGACCTCCCCCACCACTCCCCAAGACCCACACTGAGCCAGGACTTGCTCCGTCTTCTCCCCCTGCCACTCTGGGCAGACAACATGTGATTACATTGGAGACCTGTTCCACCACTCCCCAAGACCCCGACTGAGCCGGGACCTGCTCCTGCTCTTCCCCTGCCACTCTGGGCAGACAACATGTGATTACATTGGTGACCTCCTCCACCACTCCCCAAGACCCACACTGAGCCGGGACCTGCTCCTGCTCTTCCCCTGCCACTCTGGGCAGACAACATGTGATTACATTGGAGACCTCCTCCGCCACTCCCCAAGACCCAACATGTGATTACATTGGAGGCCTCCTGACAAATACATCTGTATATTCTTTAGTTGTTTCATTGTTACCTTAGTGGGAGAGGGGAGGGTTTCATTTATTTATTTATTTTATTTTGAGGTAAAAATGAATAGGAACATTGATAAGCCAACTCCTTTGTCCCTAATGAAAGCAAATATACAGAGCATATATTAGAGTTCCATGGGACTGGTACAAAGAAATTACAAATAAATAACAGTTTATTCAAATGAAGTAGTTGTTTCATTGTTCCCTTGGTGGGAGAGGGGAGGATTTCATTTAAAAAGTTTTTCATTTTGGGGTGAACATGAATAGGAACATTGATAAGCCAACTCTTTTGTCAGTGATGAAAGCAAATATACAGAGCATCCGACTTCAGTTCCATGGGATTGGTACAAAGAAATTACAACAAATAAAGACCAGTTTATTCAAATGAAGTCTCAAGTATTGTGCACTCGAGTTACCTCACCTTAACATTATCGCCACACATTATGTGCAGAACATTCCCGCTTTACATACACTTTAAACTTGAAGACATGACTCTTATCTGTCTTCTCTTCGAAGTGGGCGAACGCCAACATGATTTATATATACTCACACGCAAAAGAAACGCAAGTGGTTTTAAGCAAAAAGGTAACAAACACGGAACCATAATTGATACGAGCTTTAGCATGTAGTGAAGCCTGATGTTGTTATCAATATTTTTGGTTGCATTTTGGAAGCCCTGTTTAAAAACGCTACATAAAAAAATGAATCGCCAAAACGCACCATATCAATGAATATGTGGGTATCATGCACCCATTTCTCGCGAAATCGAAAGACCATAGGAACACGTAATCGACACATTAGCCGGGACACTGTGATCCGACGTCTCCGTTCCAACAACCTCAGATGTCGCCGACCAGCACGTCGTCCTGTTCTCCAACCACGGCATCGACAAGCACGACTTCAGTGGGCACAGGGTTATCGCAGTTGGCGTCATCGTGAGTGGAGGCGTGTCATCTTCTCTGATGAAAGTCGCTTTTGTGTCTCCCATGCAGACGGAAGACTCAGAATTTGGCGGCGTCAAGGTGCTCGTTTCGCTGACAGAAACGTTGTGGAAAGGGATCCATGGGGTGGACCTAGCGTCCTGATAGGGGCAGGGATTGGACTTAATGCGAGACTTGGACCCATGTGCTTTCTGAATGTTGGTCAAGGTCGGGGACACGGCGTCACTGCTCAGCGGTATATCGACCAAGTGATCAGACCCCACGTTGTTCCATTTTTTGCACAACATCAACAACACATTTTCCAGCAGGACAACGCTTGTCCCCATGTTGCCAGAGCTACCATGGCCTTTCTGCAACAACACAACATCCGTGTTCTACCGTGGCCAACCCTAAACACTGATCTGAACCCCATCGAACACTTGTGGGATGATGTTCAAAGGCGTCTGCACAATGTGCGCCCAGTCCCTACAACTGCCGATGAACTACGCACAGCTGCTCTGGATGTGTGTAGGAGGATCCCTAGGGCCTTCACATATCGTCTGATCCACTCAATGTACAGGAGATGTGTGGCAGCGATCAATGCTAATGGTGGTCACACCGGGTATTGACTGACATTTTGGGTATTGACCTGAAACTGTGTCAGCCCTTAACATTTGAAAAAAACAATTATGTCATCTGCCTTTTAATCCATTAAACTGTCTTCAGTCAATTTTTTGTCAATCTTACCCTATTAGTATTTCTTGTCTTTACTGTTGAAAATAAATAACATGTATACTGCATACTCGACTTGCTTTTTTTTTGCGTGTGAGTATATATATATATATATATATATATATATATATATATATATATATATGCGCCCATAGTGTTATTGATGTGTACGTAATAAACAGGAAGAACAAAATATAACAAAATTAAATCCAATCGATAAGACAATGTTAATCAACGCATGTTGTCAATATTAAGTGAGTGAGTGAGTTAAATTTTACATCGCATCGGCAATATTTCAGCCATATAGCGATGTGAACTAGGTTGAACAAGTTAGGCATTTATATTATATATTAAAAGCTGTCATCGAAGGACAGTACAACAACCAGCAATATATCACAAATTATAATTTTAAAACTAGTTTTAGAGCAATAAAATAATCAGATACAATATAAACGATACAATATAAAAACGGGCTGTAGATCGCCAGCAACCAAAGTTAGGCCACCATACTAGGGACCATGGGGACTTACGGTACTTCTGCTACCTACATGGTACCCCAGCAGGATTTACACCATCCCTCTGGCCACTGGCGATTGTCAGACAGATTAGCCAAAGAGTTAAAATCAACAAAAATACTACGATTAAAAGCACAGAGAAAGGAAATGATACGTTGAATAATACTGGACTTACGTACCTTCCCAGGGGGACAATTGTTTTACGATACTTCAACCCCCTGTGAAGATACAGCCACCAACAATCTCAGTTATGATTTCATTTCACCAAATTAAAATTCATTTACTTTATACTATACATATTATTATCAAAATTTATCTATTAATTCTATTTCTTTTAAAAACCCGATGATTAAATGATCACAGATTTGATTAAAAAGATCCTTTATAGAGGACACTTTGAAATATTTATCCCTTGTGATGGAAAAATCAATACAGTCAATATTAAGAAAGAAAAACCTTACATATACTGCTCACTGCTCACTGCCGAGAAGTGTTGTTGCCCGGATAGTCAACACTAGCAAACACTTGGTGATATAGGAGAGGGACTTCCCCTTCATATCCAGTCTCGATTGAGTCATGTTATATTGTGACCCGGCGGTATGTATCTTTCAATGAACATGAATCACGATTCTAAAACGAATGATGATTGTTATCTTATCAACTGAAGAGGACCGTCTCACAGGAACTCGTTATTGGTCAGTAAATAAAAATATATACCCCTTATGTAAGTTCTCTACTTACATATAGGGGGTATATATTTTATTTACTGACCAATAACGAGTTCCTGTGGACCGACTCCGTGGTCTAGTGGTGGAGCGTGTACCCGGAGACCAGAAGGTCGGAGGTTCGATCACCGGTCGCGTCATACCAAAATGATAAAGAAAGAACTTTTTGTAGCCTGCATCAAGGGGTAAAACGAGGATTGGTCGGCTCGGAATCAGTTTACAATCTCTGAGTGGGGTATCCATGTTAAACTGCGGCATGATATCTCAGTGGGCTAGTACTATAAACTCGACATTAGTCAAGACTAGTACAAACACACACACACACACACACACACACACACACACACACACACACACATCTTGCATGCACGTCGTTATATACGTACATTAAAGCCCATTTCACCTCACCTTTTGAAGGGTTCTCTTCGGTACTAATAAAACATCAACCGTGCCCTACCTCACCCCCTTGCAAAAGAAAATAGCCATACCATTCTATGCAATCAGCTTACTAGGAACGCTTCTGAATGATAATTCATTTATAATGGGGACACTGGTCGCCAGCTTGTACAAGGCAGCGTTGTGTTTCGCTGGAAGAGTTGTATCCCTCGGACGTACCAGACGTGTAGGACGTCCCTCAGACGTGTTCATGTAAATCTGCATCTCTGTTATCGTTGTTTATGTTACTGAGACATACATTCAGTCATTATAATACGGCCGTGTCAAATGTCAGCCAGGGACTTCCCCGGGAATATGCGCTTTAACTATACCTGGGAACATCTAACAGATTTGTGACCCGGAGATATTTACTCATTTAGTGAACATGCGTCACGACTTATAATCCTATAATCTATTCAAGAGTCGCATCAATACATTCAACAATTCTGTAAGGTTTCAAATCCTTGAAAGTTCGTAAAAAAGAAGATGCATTTGTTTCTGTCTGTCTCTCATTTACTGTGACTACTTCGTACAGGGGAATGTCCGAGTGACTCCCCATTCCTTAAAAATAATGGAGCAGAGGCCGTTACGCACCAACCATGGTTCTTCAAACTCCATTAGTACACCCATCAAACAGTTACCAGTGCAATATGGTAAGATAATAATGTCATGTAGCTGAAATAATGAAACCCCTTTATTATTTTTAAAATATCACCTCAGTAGCCATATTGTAATAATTTATTGTTTTCAATAGAATATATCCAGCTGAGCAACCAGCTTCTGAATGATAATTCTATTAGTGATGGGGCAACTGGTCGCCAACTCGTCTATATCTGTTGCTGAGCAGAGTTGTATGCCACAGGCGTGACAGAACCCAATGATCTCAGATTCTTCTTATTACGCAAACCTATTTCAGCACAATACTACCATTTCGAAACTTCCACCAAAGTGGGAGTGTCTAGGATGTGCCTCATTTTATGATTTCTTCCCCGTCAATTTGACTCAACGTGGTGGTTCTCTAACATTAAAGCAGAGTTAAACATCACTCAGTCACACTATTAAATGGATTCATCAACAAGTATCAACCAAGATGATACATTGATTCATTTACTAAGTCAGGGATTGATATCAGTATAGGTAGCTTTCTGTATAAGCTGTGTTAAAATATGAGGAAACTTGCATTAGTAATATATTTAATGCAGAAGTTATGCTAGAGCAAAAGACTACGTCTATCGCATGTTGAGAAACCTCTCGTCTCAAAGCCCGTCCTACACGTTAGATTTACACTGCACTAATCGGGGGCAACTTTGCCTCGCTCCCGCATAACCTGCAGGTGAGAGGCTCACACTTACAACGCGTGAATTTCGGGCCGCTGATGCTAATGTGATTGCAAAGCGTGCAAAGTCTTCCTGTGTATCCGATTAGAGAAGTATGACATGCTACTCCAGCTTTTGGGTCAACATGACCGCGTGATTATATCATATCGTAATATCCAAAATGAGGTTAAATCTTTTCTGTGTCTTGTCTCTGACGGTCGCCCTATTCACCGCCACTGACGTGTCTTGTGATGGGTTTTGTTCACGTGTGTGTGTGTGTAGGTTAGTGGCTGCTTGTACTAGACCGGACTGATGCCGATTGATAGTACTATCACACTGAGATACCATGCCGCAGTTTAACATGAATACCCCGCTCAGACACAGTATACTGACTCCGAGCCGACCAGTCCTTGTTTTAGCCCCTTATTGCCGAGCGCAAGACAGGGTAACGACAAGTACCATCTTTTAACGTCTTTGGGTATGACGCGGCTGGGGATCGAACCCAGGACCTTCTGCTCTCCGGACGGACGCTCTACCAT